AGCACCAACTCCCTTAGGAGAAAGCAGAGAAGACGACGGAGAAGCTCTCTGGCATGGCGGAGAAGTGCCCCTGTGTTTAGGTACAGTAAAGATGCACGGAAGGGATCAAGTGCCTAGGGATCATGGCAAAGCCAAGTTTAACATAAATTTGTTGCCGTGAAATTGTGTTGGATTTTTGCGACTTTCTAGGATGCCACATTCTCTTCCATTAAAGCTGTCCCAGGGTTTGGTGCAGTAAAATTAAACAAAAGGGCATGGCTTTCGATATTTTGTGAAAGTAGTACAAAATGTTGCAATTCCCCGGTCTCTTCTGCTGGATCGCATGTACACCCAGTCGTAAGACTGAGCTGGAGTGTCAGAGTAGGGCCCTTCGCATTCTTCTGACCTGTTTTGCGGCTTTCTTCCGGGCAGGGGCATGTGGAAGCCTCAGGGTGTCGTGCTTGCCAGGGCACGGCAGGTCGATCTATCCGTTCGGCCAAGCATAGCAGACGCGCAGCAGAAATGTGACAAGTGCCGCGGCTGTTGAGGTTCCCTTGTTGCCGGCGAGGTACGGTGAGAAGGCCGAGCGAGTGGTAGAGAAGTTCTTCGAAAAAGTGGAGAACAAGGCGCGGTGGCAAATGAAAGCGTAGAGCTTTCAGACATTCAGTCAGCACACATTCGCAGCTTTTGCGCCGAGTGTGTCAATGCATCAGTTGCTGCCTTCAAGCGCATCTTCACTGGATGGTGATCGGATTTTGTTGAAAGATGTAGGCTGCGAGGGGTGATTCGATTGTCAAAGCTCAGCATCATCGCCAGATGGAAGATCGCCGGGACACCGTCGAGCACGAAGCAGAGGATGCACGCGCATGTGCGGCATGATCTTGGTGTTTAATGAGTTCGCAACAAGAAGCACTCTGACATGCGGGCGTCGTGTGGGACATGAAGATATATTAATGAAGATGGACGTCTTCCAGAGCGCACCTGCATACTACAAGCAGCAAATCAAAATTGTCCTCGTTGCTTTGCTTTTTGTGATGGTGATGGCATGTGACGGTGATGTGCCGTCCCGCTGCGCCAATTGTGGCCGCTGACTGTTTGATCAAGTCTCCCTCCAGATTGATGACGAAGAGCACCACAATCAGAAGCCAGAGCGATCCTAATGCTAATGCAACCACCATTTGATGTTCAATTCCGATTAGCTTGGGGGTTTCGGCGAAGTTATTCAGCACCCTTCGATTCGTTTGGAGGCGCTGGCTTGCACGCAGTTGTGTGGCCCTAAATATTTGTTTTAATGGCAGGCCTATGGATTGTTGACTCAAAATCCTTCTGCCTGAGCTACCAACTGGAAACCCTGGTCCTAGAATCAATTCAAATATATTCAAATTAAAGTCCAAGAAAGCTAGAATCCAAATTTGCTTAAGGGCCCCTCCCCATGCCAAATGTGGGCCCATTTTCGTCTAGCGGGGAGTCTACACTAATCAGGATCCAACATGATTGCTTGTGGTCACTACTGCTGGATGGAGGGATCACCGCATAGCCCGCAGGACGCAGCCAAGAAACGAATGGCTCGCGTGAAGCAGGCAGTTCAGAGCGTAGAGGCGCGCAGCGAAGTCTGGGAGGGTCAACAACGAAAAGTCTAGCTAGTTGTTTTAGATGTCCGCTGCAGTTCTCATCCAGACGGGCAATAGGTCAAGGGCCAAAGTAGCCACAATTGTGACCGCTGTCCCACTGAGCATTTAGGCTTGCCACGCTGCTTCTAGCCTGCAGCATGCCTTCTCGAGGATTCAGCATCTAGCTCCGGTGAGAGCTCCGGTGCATCTCCTGCGTTCCTGCCGCTGGGCCGCATTTGCCGAAGCTTGCTTGGCAACATCCTATTTGTGAGGGTGTTGTTGTGCGGGCAGAGACAGGGATAGAAATGATGGGTACTCTAGCGAAGTGGAAAGCGGAGAGGACCAGGGATTATGTGTTATTCTCAGGCATCCACCGCTTCCCGACACAGACTTCCATGCCAGCGTAAGGCACAAAGAACAAATACCCAAATGTTTTTTCCCCGAAATCTGCCCCTGCCTCAAGCAAAACCTTCGGAAGAGAAGGGCAGACCCTGCAACAACCGGATCCCAAGCTGTTATGGTTGGACCTGCAGAAGCCTCGCAACAGAAGAAAAGCGTCCAACAGAGGCTGCGTGGCTCTGGGCCCATGCAGCTCATTGCTCCCCCTGAGGACTTGTTTCGTTGCCAGCTTGGCGCATTGGGTGGCTGATAGTCTCCAACATGCTGTTGTTGTTGCTGCTGCTGCTGCTGCTCTTGTCAGTACTTTCTTACAGAAGGGGTCGGAAGCCTGATTTCCCCCTGACACCCTCCGCTTTCTGATAGCTTCCTGTCTTCCATGTGGGGAGAAGCAAGTACAAAATCTGTTCCAGGACGAGAGGAGCAGGGTTGGTAGTGAGTTCCTGGAAAATGTCATCATGAGCGCTGAATCCCTACTATGCAGCAGCTTGCGATCATGAGAACCTGACAAGATCCCCACAGGCTCTCCACGGCGTTCCTGCACATCCCCGAACGTGCGGAATTGAAAAATCATAGCATTCCAGATTAAGCCCGTCCTTGGCGTCCCCATACGAAGCTTTGGATCCCCAGACGTAGCTTTCGTAATCCTTCTGAAGTAGAAGTTTTGCCCCAGGAGATGCTGCGGAAAGGTCTCCTCCTACCTGCAGCTGTCGGACTGGCGGCCCTGGGTTTGGCGGTCACGGCCTGGCTGAGGAGCAGGCGCAGCTCCCAAGCCGGTAGGAGCATGGAAATTGAGATGAGGGAGGCTTTGGTAATAACAGTATCCAGACTTTAACTTTGAAGCTGGTGATCTTGATTTTGATTTTAGTGGAGCACCTTCATCTGGTAGGGACATGCTGCCAAGCAGTAGGACTCTTTTGGTCAGCGCCCCTTCAGACAGAACAACCTTTTGATAGGACTCCCATGAGTGCCAGGCGATCCTCCGAGCTCCAGATCCCTCCCAGCCTGGGCTGAGCGTTTGAAGCTTTCCTTGGCGGGGCCGTGGAAGCCTGACAAAGCCAGGAATCCCACAACATGTTTTTGCCATAGGCCTGAGGCCAGAACGTAGTAGAAAGACTGTGATGTCAGTAGCCCCTTCACGGTACTGTCCTTAGGAATTAGTTTTACATCTTATGTTAGTATAACCCTACGGAAATATTAGAAATGACATTTTTATCATAGGTCTAAGGAGAGTACAGTTCAAACATTCTCAAATTATCTTCCCGACGCTTAAGATGCAGCCATCAGAGGGGCCCAACCAAATCCGAAGAAGTGATAGGATCTCCGGTGCACTGGTGAATGCTATCGCAGGGTTACTTCGTCAAAGCATGAAGTACTTAGTTTCGTGGCCGAGCCCTTTCAAATCTGGAAACAGGCTTTCTGATACGCCAATGAACTGTGGGTGTACAGTCGAAGGACTGAGCCTCAGGCAAACTTGGGCAACAGCATGTCCCGCAGCTCAAAGCTTTCTCTGTGAATTTCCATGGCTTCCACGACCCTGGCTGCTACTCAGAGGAAGCCTTGCCGACGCTGACCCAGCACTGCACCATATAAGATTGCACCATGGAACTCGTTTTCAGAGAGCTTCGGGCACTAGGACATTGAAAGCCCTTGGAAGCGCCCAGACACTTGAAATGGAAGCAGTGCGGATCGTGCCAGCACAGCGCTTCGCAGCCTAAGCTGCTTCATCTGTTGATCAACTCTTGACCACAGTTGCAAGCACCTGCCTTAGCAGGATCTGGATGAACGTACAGTTTTCCACGGATGTAAGAGCTGATACCTTTCTAAGCCTACGGCCCGCAAATGCGTGCGGCACCTACGTGCTTTGGGCTAGTCACTTGACAGCTCTGTGGGATTGCACGCGTGTCAAGGTTGGAGGCAGTCGAGCCTCCGTAGCCAGCAAAAGCAGCCAGTTGGTAGGGACCGCTATGAACGGCTCACAAAAACTTCACAGGCTACGTGCTTGCACTGCGGCAGTATCTAGGCATGATGCGCCAAAGCTCAGACGATGGAGATAAACTGGCTTACATTTGGAGTATTGGTGTCGGCCGAAGGGAGTGCTAGGTGCTGTGAAGCCCACACGGGTGAGACATTCCGCGTGCTAGTTATGAAGCGTCCTCCCTTGATGTACAGACTGGCTACCCGTGTTCAGGAGTGCAAGGAGGGGCATTGGGCTCAGATACACGCCATGGGGGGTAAGGGGTTCTTGATTCCGACAGCTACCGCGATTGAGAGATGAAAGCGGAATTAGCTTACCTCACGCCAACCCACACTTAACACAGGAAAGCGCCAGTGCGTTGGCAAGGAGGCCGCAAGTATTTGTGCGAGGCCGTAGAACAGGGCCGGGGGGGGGGGGGTTGGGGGGCTGGGGTTGAAGATCAAAGCAAAAAGGGATGGCCCTACACCGGCCAGGAAACGACTGTCATTGGGAAGTAGGACTTTTTAGGGCAGGGGGGAAAGGGGGGGGGGTGAGCGCAGCAATTTTGGGGTGTGTGAGAGGGCAGGGAGACGCGTGGTCAGCTTGTTCCAGACGCCAAGGCCGAGGCGAAGTGCGGAAATGAACTCGGGCTAACTAGGGAATTGTCAGACTGTTGGCCGTTGGAGGCATGCTTTCTTGGGCAAGAGGTCTGCAAGTGTTAGGGCCGTTTGTCAAGGTGTTGCGGCAAGGTTGCGCCAGAGAAATGTAGCCATCTGGTGTGTATACTACCTCGGACGGTGGACATGAATGCCACAACACGTTTCCTACAGTTTGTAGGTTGTCGCAAGAGGCAGTCAATCCACAACGAGGCCCAGGGATGTAGAGTTGCTCACAATAATTATCTCCATCGGCTGTCAAAGCACAACAGACGCGGTGGCCAGAGCGGACATGCCTTGTGCGGGTTAGGCCTTGCCGCAAGTTGCCCAAGCGGCGCAGTGGTGTAGGTGGGCTGGAATTTAAGTCTGCAGCATAGATGTGTAAATATTCTTAAGACCGAGGCTTCTATTTCTACACCATCGGGGAGCGCCACGCCACACAACAGGAGCATGATTTGCGCTGTTGTTGTCAGTCACGTCCTCGAGATGTTCTGTGAGGAGCTCGGCTACCGGCTTGCCGAGGCCACAGGTCGCTTCCACCTTGCTGCCTGGGCCTGGGCAAGCCTTGAAGGCTCTTGAAGTATTTTGAAGCCTTGACCCCTTTCATGTCCGTGATTCATCGGAGCCGTTAGCAAGCTGGAGTTTCTCGCTGCGGCGGGATTGGGTTTGTATAGGGCACTGCGCACAAGTCAAGATTCTTGCGTTTCCGCTGGCATGGGCTGTCGCAACAGTAGACTTCAGAAGGAATCCCAAGAAACACCGGGGATCACAGTGGGCAGCATTGCACATTCCTGAGTGGAAATAGCAAGCAAGCAGACGTTTGCAGAGCCCGTCCTCAAGGAAAGCTTTGCAGATTGAGGCTCCGACTTGGGTCATCCACGTGTGGTTGGCAGCTGGGGCCTCAGCTGACGCTGCAAAGCTGGGTAACAAAAAACAGGCTGCCCATGTCCGTCAGAATAACCGCGCAACGCAAGTTCCGGCTAAGGTCATGAGCTTCCTCGTGTCCTTCCATTACCAGCTTCCTAGCTGGCCGCTGAATCAGCCGGCAGGCAGTTGGAGAGCGATACCACCTGCAGCAGTCTGAGAACACTTGCTTGCAGGGCGGGTCGTTGAACCAAAGTCGTACTTCAACACGCGGCCGCCTCAAAGCGTCACAGGTTGAGGTTCAAGGATGTTCAAGGCTCCTTGTTGAAAAGGATGTGGTTGAAACAATGAAAGCGGATCGTCTTGCAATTCTCCGTCTTCTTCCTAAGACTCAAACAGTACTTGATGTTTTTGGGTTTTTGCTCTTGAGCTGCAGCTGCCGCAAGGGTCTAGCAATTGGGAGTCATTCTGGATTCGGGAATATGTCCAACAAGCAAGATCAAAAAGGCTTTGGAGTAAGATGGGGACGGCCGCGGAAGACCGCCCTAAAGATCCTCCGGGAGATCACAGTGCACAGGAGAAACCTTGAAGATGATGAGCTCCAGTTGCTAGCGGCATGTGATGTGGTTGGTGGTTCCAGGTACTCCATGGCGAAGAAAGGGCTCATCGATCAGTGGCCACCTGGCTCATGTGGAGCATTAGGTCCCAGAGATGGCATGTACCGGATGTCTTACTCGAAGTTGAACTTGGGGCAAGCATGAGGAAGAATTGATTTGAGAAGTGAGTTAGCATGAAAAGAACAGGTTGCATTCGGGATGTGCCGGAGCTGAATGTACAGACAGACGTGCCAGAATTTCGAGACATAGGAGCTTGGTAGCTTCGACACGCAAACTTGCCCACCTCGACCCTGGTGATCAGATGGCCTTTTAGACTCAGTTCCAAGCTCACGCCAGGTTTGACAACAGTCTCTTTCGCAAGACGTTTGGCTACAGCCATATATACACCACTGAGGCCTTGCCTTCAAGCCTTGAGGGATGTTGGCGGTGGGGCACTGCCTAGCTTGCTGCCGAAACCAGCTTTGAATATCTGTGAATAAAGCTTGCTTGCTTCTTGGTGGCTGGTGAGGCATGGCACCAAAGTCTGAATTTGTCAGGGAAGTTCTGGACAGTAATGTCGGTGACGCCTAAGCCGCATAGAGGCGATGCGTCCCAAAACACAAACTTGCCTGAACTGGGGATCTCGCACTCAAGCTGTCGCTGGCTCAACTGCATCAAAACGCTGGCTTTTGTATGTCAGATTGTCCCTGGACAGCCCGTGGAAGCAAAACGGAGCCAGACTAGCTCAACCTCTCGGTATGCCCTTCCTGAACCTTACCAGGCCCCCTTGCAAGCTGTGCAGGAGGCGGTGGCTCTTGTGGCGGGAGCAGCAAAGCGTCAGCCCTCTCCCAGGCTCACCGCGCCCCAAACTTACATCTACATTGATTGTGGTATCTGAACTCGTGTTATCGGGCACGTGCGGTAAGTTTGCACAGTTGAGCATGCTCCATGACTATTTCGAAGCAGCAGTCGTGCAGCTCGCTCGCCCTTGCAGGTATACAGACTCCCACAAAAAGCGGCCTGGAACGCGCCAGGCTCAGCTTGGCCTTCCTCCACAGCTTTGCAGCAAGTCCCCTGACGCTCTAAGGCACAAGAACCCCAAGAGCTCCCACAGCTGTTTGTAGGTATTAAAATGTGCGCCCTGCTCGCACCATTGGAGCGGGTTGCCCACATAGGCTTCTTGCGTTTGTCTGGGCGCAATGGGTCGCCAGGAACTGCTGCAAGGAGCTGCAACTGGTGAGGCGCAAATGGCCGCAGGGCAACAACAACTCGCCAACCACAAAAAAGGAGCCCTTCTTTTGCTTGGGATTTGGTTGAGACATGTAAGCTTCAAATTAGAATTGCCCGGCCGAGGATGACGCTTGTGGCGGGGCCAGTTCTGATTTCACTTTGTACAATGGCAGGGGCCTTGACAGAAAAGTCTGAGTTGGTCGTGCAGACCTGGAGGGCTTCCTGCTTTTGACAGCCTAGGTTTTGGTGGTGCTTTGCGGTGGCTTGAGTCTTTCTGCCCCTGAGCTGCCATCAGCTTCACTTGGCTTCACCGATGCTCAAGCACTGGGTGGGAGAACAACTCATGAGCCCGTAGCAAACCCAAACCCTATCAGCGTTTCAGCAAGGTTGCTTGCTCCACGTCCTGGAGCCTGTGCAGCCGCTGGGCGAAAAACACGAGGGCCAGTTGTGCCTTCATACAAGACGCAGATTTGATGGGCAGGATGGACTGCAGAACGTTCGATCAGGGCCTGAGTGGCATGCCATATGCACCTGCAACTGCAGAGGTCTTTGCCAGTTCGGCTTCTTTGTTTCCTCACCTGCTACACATGTTTGCGGCTTCGTGACGCGCCTTGGCGAGACACAGCTTGAGTCACAGCTTGTCAGTCATTGAAAGCAATTACAGTGGCATCAAATGACAGCATATTCAGCCGTGCTTTCTGCAACAGATAGTCAAACAGCCACAGAGATGCTCTTCAGGCAGCCCGCCTACCGGCTGTGGATGCCCTTTCAAGGGGGATCCCTCCACGTCTTCCTGCAGGGCATAGGCTCGGCCTGTTATTTCAAACATTTTGCGGCAAGAAGATCGCCGCTCTTGGGCGTAAGGTGGCCCTATCAATGACCCTAACTAGGGCTATTGATCCTTCATCTGTCGAGTTAACAAACAAAGTTCACACTACCCCTGGAATGTCCCCTTGGCAGAAATACAAATAGAATCAACGGGCATTTTGCTTGCTTGGCATGCTATTGTCGTGGTGGTTGAGCATATGGATAAGATTGGTAGCTGACTTTCTGTCCCAGGTTGGTCTTGCTTCGCATTGCTATTGATGCAATGGCCGCGTCCTCAGTCCATGCTCCACGACACATCCACAATAGTTTTGAGAATTGTACATCCTGTCCTTAGCACGGAAAAAGGAGGCCGTTCACGCTTGTGCTTGGTCAGGTTTGGCCTCTCATCTGCTGGTGGAAGCGGTCTCCCATGCATCTCAGGTGTGCAAACTGGTATGGCGAGGAGATGCTGCGGACAGAGCTTCTTGGCAGTAGAGGAGTGGCCTGCGAGCCCTAGCAGGTACTAGCAGGTACTAGCACAGCCGTATTCCATCTTTGCGAAGGAAATTCTGGGATCCATTCCCTCAAAGCCTGAGCACATGGAGCTTTCTGTTTGAACCAGGCGCAAGAGCCTAAAGCTCGGCGCGCTGCTGCTGCTTGCTAAGCATGCCGTAATCGTGGGGGAGCGGGGGCCGGTAATGAGGTGCAAGAACAAGAAAGGACGTGATCAACCCTAGGCAGCAAGTCTCAACTCCACAGGTTTCTGTGCTGGCGAGCCTTTGGAACAGCACATGAGGGAACTCGCATTCCTGTTCGGTTAGCTGGGAGCAGGGCGAACAAATTTTCAGAGCCAAGGCTTCCATACGTCGGCGATGGCCGCCTGAAGGTGCAAGCAGCTAACAAAAGATATCAGATTGATAAGCGGGCCAGACGGCCCTGAGCCAGGGCCGTGTGACAGCAAGCTTTTTGGATCAATAGTAATCGGATGTAATCGGTGTTAATCGCAACCGTACTGTAGCTTTAAAGCCAGAGAACTGATCCAGCACGGGCACAGGCAGCTTTTGGTTTGGCGGCGCAGGCCCGCATCCTGTCGCCTGCTGCGTCCATGAGAGGTACTGAGTTTTGGCGTACAAGCTTTCTACCCGCAGCACTTCAGAAAGTCAAGAGCTGCTCCGCAAAAAATACATATCAAGATAGCTTGCCCGTTGCAGACGTGATGGCAACAGGCGGTCAGAAACTACCTCCCGCGCTGTTCATACTTTATTCAGTGTTCGGCTGTTTTACTGTGGGGTTTCCCAAGGCGCCGTGTTCATTGAAGGGCACAGTGCCCAAGCACTTCTCAAAGACACAGGAACCTCTGAGCCTGATGCGAGAAAGGACTGGGGGAGGAAAGTTCCGTACCCAGGCAGGTGGTCAGTTTGAAATCAGCTCCGCAGAGAGGCTGCTGCTGTCTGAGATGCAGGAGGCCACGCTGCGAGGTGATTGGCAGACGGTCAAAACATTGTTTGCGAGGTACACTGGGCGTGCCGTTGCAATATACACCACCGTCATGAACGCGGCCTTTCGATGCGGCCAATACCGCTTTGGAGTAGACACGTATCAGCGTTTCTGTGAATTCGGTTTGGAGAAGGATCCTCCGGTGTATACCATGGCCAGTAAACTTTTCTCCAAAGTCGGTGAGGCGGAGCGAGTGCGAGAGATCTGGCATGAGGCACAGAGCGCTTGTGAATTGAATGAGGCTCTGGCAGCAGCCAGGATCGATGCGGCTGCTGATGCAGGTGATGTTGAGGGGGCAGCTGGTGTCCTGGACGAGCTGATTCGTCCAAAAAACTGTGATCCCGATCTTGGCCATTTCACATCAGCTATCCATGCGTGTGCAAGAGCAGAAAGGCCTAGTCATAACGCTGCTCTTTTTCTCTTCGACCGCATGACTGGCATGGGCTTGGAGCCTGATGTTGCCGCCTTTAGCGCTCTAGTCGGCTCCTTCCGGATCGCTTCGCTGGACCTCCTCTTGGCTACCTACCAGCGGATGAAGTCTTTGGACATCTCTCCAAATGAGGTCTTCGCGGAAGTGTATTTGACGCGGCTTCTTCAAATCCCGAAGGCCCAAAGGAAGCAATCACCGGCAGACATTCTGAAACAGATAAACGCCTTAACTAATGACATCGATGACAGAGTACAGGCCGCAGAGATGGCCCTTGCAGAATTCCACCAAGCCGGAGTGCGGCTTTCAAATCTCAGTCAGATAATTGAATCCGCGCTCCGGCTGCTTGGGCACAGCCGCAGCTAGCGGTTAGTCTGGCACTGCCAGTGATTCAGGCTGTGGGGGCAAGGTCCTGCCGCCGAGAGATCTGATTAGCGGCTTCTTTCAACTATGGGATGGCCGAATTTTGGGCATAAAATGCCATGCAAACAAGTTACAATGACACCTCAGACAGCTTCACAGTTCCGAGGAAAAAAACGAAGTTGACAACGCTCGAAGTTCATCAGCGCAAGCTCCGCGCTTGGCTGTTAACACATCTTGTGTTGCAAAGAGTGAAGATGGAAAAGTCCGTCGTAGCACCCCTCAGTGGTGCAACGTCTACAAGTACCCATGTCAATGTGAATTTGATCCCGCACAATTAGGTGGCCAAGACCATTCAGCCCCGATGCATGCACAAGGGCAGCTGAGCATGCCACTGATGTAGAGTATAAGATATACAAGGCATGCACCGTTTGCACCATCCATGTATGATCAGGAGCATATTCCTTAATCCTTCAGTCTTTGCGCATTTTCTGGAGTTTGAGATGATCGGTTTCGGCCGCACGGGGGCCTTCGCTGCCAGGTGACGCTTGGACTGAGCATCCTAGTTTTCAAAAGTCCATGGGAGAGAGCTAAGCCTAAGCGCAGCTGATGGTCTGCGCTTGCAACAGCAGAGGGCTTGAGGATGAGGACTGTGACACAGCTTCAAAGGTGAAATGCTACTTGTAGGACGAAAGAATTGTTCGTCAAGCAAGCGGTGTGCGGGGCGCTCTGAAGCCGCTTTGATATGTCCTGTCCTCAAGCTCCAGCACCTTGACGGAGGATTTCTATGGCCTAGACAACTGCCCGGAAGTGGCAACGCTCAACGTGACTGTTGAAGTCAATCTGCAAACCTTTCCAGGCCCGTCTTCTTTCGAAGCAACCTTTAGCGTCCTTTGAACGGGCAGCTGTCAGCCTGGCCGAAGCGCCTTGTTCTGGCCCAGCCGGGTTGCAAAATTTGCCGAAGTACACGATGCCGAAAGGGGGTTGACCTCTAAGAGACAAGGGCTCAGAACCAGGTGCAGGAAGGCTGGAGCTCGTTGATCGAATTTCATTATGCCTTTGAAAGGCATGTTGCAAGTGGACTGCTTCGAGTGACCTAGAATCTGCCAAGTCAGCATCTTCACAGGGACACAGATGATGGCTACTTAAGTTTACTTCTGTGGCTCGGCTAGGTCACCAAGCAGCTCCTGTAGGCAGAGCCCATGTTTATTCGGACGTATATGTTTGAAGTAATGCAGGTGAGCCACTTGGACGATGGCGACCCCAGGTCTTGGCCATTTGGGCTTCAAGTCTGCAGGTTTGGTGAACCGGAGTCCTGTCGTGCTCAGCTCCTTCATGTTACTGCGCGGACCGCCCACGGCATGGCCCTGATGAGCAGCGTCAACCCTAGCACAGAGTTGAGAGCACATCCGTCCATGCCAATTAGGGCCATGCCGGCGGACCTACAGCAGCTGGGACCGTTCATGACAACTCCTTGAAAATTGGAGAGCCCCCCTATGATGATCGTCGAAAGGTCTGGATGAACAGTTTTAAAGCCTTGGACGAAAAGAGAGCTAAGTAATGCCAAACCTATCCCCCTTTCACGTCAAGGCTTGCAGTCTAGGAGCTGCCGTGAAGATTTCAAAGGTCCCAGCTACAGAGATGATGCGCCAAAGCGCGGCAAATTTGCAGCTCTTAGCTCGCAGTCCGCGAATAGCCGTGGATGAGTCACAGCTGCTTCCCGGGAGGTTGCAAGTACAGCTTCGGTGGGCAACGGAGCACAGGTTGTTTATCAAAATTCTCCCAGTTAACCCTGCACCCCAGAACTGCTTCACAACGGGCAAGCCTATGACAATCACCCGCCACACTGCCTCAGTCTGAATCTGAAACCAGCAAACTTGCCAACCTCTCTTTTGGCTGTAGATGTCGCGGGTCCCCCCTCTGAGGCTGCATTTGATCGGTATACTGTATACTTGTGCTTGTCTCCTTCGATGCTTCCACTGCGCTTTCCTGCTTGTATTGGTTCGTAGCTTGCTTTTATTTGCGTGGGCCACAATGTTTGTAAGATGCCTCTGAGCAATCAGCGCGGCCGTAGGGACTAGCCAAGGTGCGACGTGCTTTCATGACTGATGTAAAGTTTTTGTAGGACTGGGTATCCTGCTCTGGCTTGCAGTCGATGTTGGAATCAGCTTGCAAAATAGAAAGCCCATTCGGCCTGGGAACTTCTACATGTGAGATCAGTAGCAACACATAGTAACACCAAACTTCACGCTGCCTGGACACTGGCATCCAGGATGGCCCGGTGATGGTCCGCTGCCAGATGGGCACTCCTTGGGTCTCCAGTTGTCCATTAACATGAACAATGATAATGGAAACGATGATAAAGCAATAGCAAGAAAAATAAGAAAAAGTAACAGTATTGGCAGCATTACAAACTGAAGCCGAGGCTCATGGGTAGGTTGAGGAGCTGCTTGGGCGCGCAGCCATCGCTCTCTGAAAGCTGAGCATTCATGTGGACATGCTGAGGGGTTCTATTTGAGATGCGTTCATGGGGAACAGCAAGCAGTCGAATCTGTCTTCGCTAGCGAGCTTGATTCTGAGAATTGGATTCCTCGTCCTTGTCCCTGCTTGCTTGTCCATACGGGGTGCATCACAGCATAAGCTCTCTAAGCTGCAAAGCTCAAACACTTGTTAGTGCAACTTTGGTGGCTTTCGCTGCAGATGTTTCGGTATCTGACACATGTAGAACATCTCAGAAGCTCATGTTGCGTGTGGTGGAGGTAGCTTTACAAGCACGAGCTAAGCTGCCACGTGACGAATGCTCTGCAGCTCTCATATTGTAGCTCCTTCAAGAAGTTAATAACAGAAAGCTCAATGTAAGACTTATGATCAGGATACCCAGATTCCACGCACACCGCAATGACGCTCTGGTGGAAAAAGTGTAGCCCGTGCCACAGCGTTTCCACTTCATGACAACCTTGCCGCAATGCTGGACAAATGGGTCTGCAGCGAAGCCTCCTAATGGCACCAGGATCACTTCTCCTTGACTGCAATTGTGCAACACATTGGAACACGATCTGTGGAGTTGGCTCCCAGCCTCTTGCCCCGTAACATGGCACGAAGGACAGGCAGAGCTGAAACTTGGCAACGATGACGGTCCAGCTTGCATGTGAAAGCCAAAATGACGAAAGCAGACCTACGCATCCCTTGACTCCACGTCACTGTAGAATCCGGTGTGTGCAAGCGTGCTTGTGTAAACGCTGCAAATGGCATGGCTTTGGGGGGCCGGGGGCCCAGTCCTTAGGCTTTGACTAGCCAACCTTGGAGATCAAAGGCAAATCACCTTACGTAGTCTGTTCAGAACGACGGCCTTTGCAGTAAACGTCCTGACAGGCAGCCGCATCTGGCAGCCTTACTATTGAGGGCCGAGAGGCCGGTTTAGCCGCTGCTTCAGGGCATTCGGGACTGGGTGTCTGTGCCTGTGCGGCATGCAGCGGGGCGTTGGATCAGAGGCGCAGAGCCAGGCGTGTCCAGAGGGCGCGCATGCGTGGGTGTCATGTCTACACCTGTGGTCTCTCAGATTCTCAGATTGGGAGTTATTGATGCGCGGGTAGCAGACCCTGTCGTTTTTCATGACGGAAACATAAAAGGCTGTAGCATGGAGCGTTGCATAGGCCAAGGATGCCGGGTTGGCCGCGTCGGTAGCTGAACCCACAGGGTGAGCAATGATTCGTGTAGCTCGTGTAGGCCTACCAGAAGGTTTATGACAGAGAAAAATGCTTTCAAGCTCAGGCTTCAAGGAGTCACTTGATGCATGTGCCTTGCCTGACCCCATGGATGTAGCTGATATAGCTCCGATTTCATGGACAGCAAGATTTTCAGAGGGCGGGCGCTTCCAACGCAGAATACATCCATGTAGTCCTGCTAAGTAGACGGTACGTCTGACCTGAGTCCGTTGCAGGTGGTTCAAGAGACTCTTATTGCTGACGGTGGCTTCGCCTACGTGTGCGCCCATTTTGGAAAGAGAAGCTGTCAACAAGTGGGCACATTGCCTGCCCCTGGAACCCCTCCGCAGGGGAAAGCACCAGCCAGTTTCTTGGACATTTTTTGCTTGGCAGGTACAGGGGCCAGGGCCACAGAGCCAAAAGAAGGTGCTTGGATAGCGATGAAAACCCAGTCCAGACAGCTGTCTGCACTCTGGCACACTGGGTGCGAACATCAAGTCCTGTTGTGCCTTTCTACAGTTGAGAAACTACCATATCTCCCTGGATGGGATGCGACAAACAACAGGATTCAAGCTTTCTTTTGCTCTGAATAGCATATTCTCGTGAGGATGTCGGTTATCATCTAGCAATCGTGTGCTACGGCAAATCCCCCTACAGCACTAGCAGCAGCAGGAGGAGGTGAAGATGGAAGCGGAGCTTTTGAAGCTAGAATGGTGACAGCACCACCGGTTGCATGTGTACTACATGTAAGAACTAGTCGAAATTTAGTTCTTCTGCTACGTCCTGTTTTGCAATCAATCAATCCTGGCACCCATTGTTTAAAGGTCACACACACAAAACCCAGGCCATAATTACACCCATAGCCCTGATGCTTGATCGAGGCCGCGAGGTCCGAACAGGCGAGCCACTGGTTGGAAGCTCAGCTCAAGCAAATGCTGCTACTCAGAGTTCGGGCTCAAGGTCAAGGATTCAACAAGCCAGGCGGATGCGGCCACCATATTGCATACTTGGTGTCAAGCTTCTTTTTCTATTGTTCAGCACCGGTTGCCAAACGAGAATTTGCCTAAATCGGCACGGTGTAGCAAAAGCAGGAACAGGTTATTGACCAGCCTAGATGCAGCCTGTAGGTACAGTACGGGGCTCTTGGATGCTGTCAGGGCCAAGTCCACATAAGTAAAGAGGATCCCAAAACGGATCTATACCAGAGTGAGGCGATCCGTCGCGCGCTGCTCCAGGACTCCGAGGCCCTTCCTTCGGATTCAGGGCTCTACATGCGCGTCGGCCATCTTTTCATGCTTCAAAATCTAGACGCGCAGCATGTCATGGGCCCCTGCCTATGCAAAACATGTCGTGAAGAGCGAAAGGACTGCAAAAGCTATGCGCGTGGGCTTGGGAAAGGTTTTGCTTAGCGTGACTCTAGCCGCAAAAACTAAACAAGGCCTGTTGCCGCAAAGAGCTTTTTGGGCTCCATACCATCTCCTTATAGCTTCCGATGTGCGAGTACGTCTTGCTGCGAAAGGCGTTTGAAAGCTTTGGGAAAGGGGCGCACGAACTGGAAAACGCGCAGGTTTAATTTCAACCCAAGATTTCATGCAGAAGCGTAGCCAAGCAGCAGCTTTGCGGCATGGGAAGGCACATCAAGCGGCACGGCTGGAGCTCTCGCTGCTGCGTCGGTTGCCTAAGGCTTAGCCGGAGTTGTATGGAAGAGTCAGCACTCAGAGACCTGAATTACAGCCTTCCCGGAGAGGTGGAGAGAAGCACCCATGTCAGCATGTTCCAAAGGTCCATCACTTTTTAATAGCTACTACTGTAGTTTGCATGATGACAGGAAGACGTAAAATGTGTTCCGATGGTAGGCTGGGATTCTGAGGCCACACCACTTGCACGTTGTCCGCTTTTTGGGCGGTGAGATCCTCGAAGGCCCATCTGCCCATCTGCTGATGGCACTGAAGCAAGAGCGTCGGGCGTGCGCTTGCGTAGTGCCCAAACTTTCTTCTGCTCCTGATTCAGCTGCCATGACAAATTCAGCTTGCAATCGTTTTAACATGACGCATGAAGCTGATTTGCAGTCAAGACTGGAGTGGTCTTAAGTGGGAGTGGCTCTTGCTGTCAGCGACAGCAAAGAGGCGGATCTGGCGCAGCTTCATCGAAGACGCAGGCAATGACTCGTAGAGAGATGGAAAGCTGTGCAGCCTAAATCGTTGTGAGCAGGCGGTCTCGCTTTTCGAGCTTTGTGCGGGCACCTAGCTTTACGGGCATCATGTAGCAGATGTAGCAGACTGAGTCTTGCCAACATCGGATCTCTGTTGGACTGGGCTGCATTTTATTGCATTTTTGTTGGCCTTGTTCTTACCAGAGATGCTCAGGCACAGGAGGGACCTTGTTCTCAAGGCGCAGTTGTGAACACGGAAGATCATGAGGTCTCGCAGCCATGACCTGGCAAGCCCAGAGCACTTTGAGATATGTACATTCACGCTCGGTGATCTGACTTGGGAAAGTCCTGTGGACCCTGGGAGGCTGGACAGCGTGGTGGACAAGGCCCATGAAAATGCAGGCAGATGTTGGATAGCACATGTAATGAACAAGGCTTGCCATGATTTCTTTGCATGGCAGCCCTGCCAAAAGCACACTTCGAGCTTAAGCTGCCAATCGTACCTGTCCGTCGTTGGTGCAAGGTGCGCAAGTTCACAACTCGTAAATGTTTGTCCCGGAGCAAGCCATTCTGATCTCAATGTAAGCTCTTTTATAGCCGTGCCATAGAAACAGCGGGATGTCAAGAGGCCGCCTTTGCATCTGATCGCAGGGCAAAAGCGCAAACAGTTCTTGCGCCTACGCTATCTTACAGCTGCCTTACAGGGCACTGGGAAGCACGAAAATGTGACGTCCCTTTGCTTTAAACGCTCCGTTGTTTTGCGACTTTTGTGTGTTTAGGACCACTGCAGCGGATTGAAACTTCACGGGGCGCACGTATCAAACAGGCAGCGGCTGGCGACGCAGCAAGCAGACCCCTGATGCAGGCTTGCCTGCCGAGAAGTGCGTCTGTTCGGAGACCCGGAGTGAGATCGTTTGGCATCGTGGCACCCTCATAGAATGCTTCCTGCCAGCCTTAAGTCTTTAGAAACATCGCTTCTTGCATTGATGCCATGGTTGCAGGCACAAAAAATACTTTTAGAGTCGCACAGTCTGAGGACGTGCCAAGCTGGAAATCTTGACAGGTCCTTGTCTCCCAGAAGAGGAGGTCTTGGCAGTGCTTGGAGCCCAGATGGTGACTCTAGCACCCTAGGCAGTGGGATCAGTGCGGAGCCTGCAACCTTGCACAACTTGGAACTTTACGAATTTTACAACTTACTTCTACTGATACATGCCGGCTTCCAATAAGCCTTGGGGGTTTTGAGCCCAGTCAAGTTGCAGAGGCAAATCCCGCTTATGCAAATTCAAAGTAGCACCGCTATGTAACGCTATGGTTTAGAAGGCAAACCGTTTTGATGTTTTTCAGCACCATGAAGAGCATGTGATCATAAATCGGAGTGAGGCATGCAGGCTCTCTGTGGGGGTGGGGCCCAGGCTTGGAGCTGGCGCGGGCGCGCTGGCGCACCTGCACCATCACCGCCAGGGCCTCAGGGAAAAGAGCCTCGAGTGACGATGATGCCTGGTGTGGCAGAAGTATTGGGAGCAGCCGGAGCAGCGGCATTTGTTTGCTTTGGTTGTGGTGTTGGCAAGTAATTGCCGCTGCCGCTGTTGTAGTAATTAAGTGCCAGTTGTCTTGCTGATGCTGCTGCTGCTACTATACTATAATCACGATTACAACCACGACGATTACTACGATGACTACGACTACGACGACGACTACTACTGCTGCTGCTACTACGACGACGACGACGACGACGACGACTACTACTACTACTAGGAAATTAT